TTTCGAAAGCAAAACAACGCGCACCAAGCTGAAATACCAAGCTCAAAACATGCCAAAACATGCCGAAAAATCCATGCTCAAGCAAAAACTCAATCATGCCAAAAGGTTTCCTAAAAGATTCCTTAGCACAATCCAAAACAACTGGTGGCCTGTCGCAAGCCAAAGGCTCTTCAGGCGAAGCACTCTCGGAAAACTCAACCCTAAAACCCCGAAGAAGAAACCCAAAAGGAGTGGCAGCTAAAGCGTGGCGGCCAGACTCGCTGTCATCAGGAATCATTCTTCCTTTCTTCAGGATCCCTTCTCCGCGCTTCTTGGGTCCTGCGAGGGAACCAGGAGTCGATCCTGGCAGGTCGCTGTCCTTCAAGGAGTCTACCTCCATGGCCTCCGTCCCTTTCGGGGGGCGTTTAGAAGAAGTCTCCCGACCACGACCCTTCGAGCTTCCGCTAAGTGCCCACCATGCGCGCTGGGCCCCCACAAGCTTGATGCTTTTCTTGCCGTTTCCTTTGAACATCCGAGCACCGGCCTTTGACAAGTAGGTCTTCCAACCCCGCTCGGCACCCGTCCAAGGGGAAATCACATTGAACCCCACATCGGCAACCAACACCTCTTCAAGCCTAAGGAAAACATCGCCAAAATGAACCTCGAGATCGACAACCCCCGAAACGACAATCGAGCCACCCGAGGCATTGAACAGATTGGCCGTTCGATCGTGCTTCTTGACAACACGAAATCCTGAGAGATGTTGATCAGATACTATGTGGCACGTGGCCCCACTATCTACCAACCACACATCCTCAGGCGAGGCTCCTAGCGAAGAGCACAGATGAGACATGCTCTCCTTCTTGGCAAAGCGGCTACCGAGGGAGCCCATGGACTCCAGGCTAGGATCCGCGACAGTCTTTGCTGCCGGCTGGGGCTTCTCAGGCGCACTCAGAACACGACCTGGAGAAGAAGAAGGAACCGAAAACCTCAGAGNNGACTCTTCTTCAGACTCGGGCTCAGTCAGCGCCCGGCCCTTTCCAGCTCCCTTTTTCTTCTTCTTTCCTTTCCCCTTGCCTTTGTCCTTTCCGGAGTCTCCTTTCCCTTTGCCTTTGCCCTTCTCAGAGCCACGAGGCGTCCCAGATCCTTTCGGAGTCTGGTCGCCTTTTCCTTTAGACTTTCCTTTCTCGCCTTTTCCTTTGCCCTTGGAATCACCACCACGCTCGTCTCTCTGACGCTGCCAGCACCTTTCTGCAGTGTGTCCCTTCTTCCCGCAGTAGTCGCAAAGCTTCTCCTGGAGAGCTCTGCCTGCAGACCCGGGGATTTCACAAAGTCTAAGTTGTTCCTCGTAGTAAGTGAGGGTGAGCCGAAGCTTGTCCCAGCTCTCGCTGGACCCATGCAGCACCACGTACTGCCTTACTTCGGTACTCAGACTTTGTAGCAGAACTGAGCAGCGGTCTGCCTCCGAGAGCTTGAGTTCTGAGAAGTTGCTCAGCTTGGCCTCTGACTTCGAAAAAGCATCCTCCAGATGACGAATCAGATCAGTGGGCCTCTTCAGGTGTCCCACATGCTGGTGCAACTTCAAAGCGTTCTCTCGTACGAAGACAGCTTCCATCCTCGACACAATGCTGTACTGAGAGGTAATCGTACGAATCACCTCGTAACCACAGGCACTCTGAGCTTGCCTCTTCGAGCAAGACTTCAAGAGCTCAACTCCTCGCTCCCACTTCGCCAAAGACTGGGTGAGGTAGTAGAACAGCTTGAAGCTCCGGGCAGCAGTCTCTGCATTCAGACTCGACTGCTGTATCTCCGTCTTGACAGGATGCAAAGCTGCAACTCCCGAACAAAGACT